TTGGACAAAGATTCAACAATGAAAACTATGAACATTGCTGAGCATAATTAAGGAAGAGCTAAATACATGAACAGATATACATCCTCATAGATTTCAAGACTCAATATTGTCAAGATGATAATTTTCCCCAGGCTGATCCACAGATTTAATGCAATCTCACTTCTCTAAATCATAATAGGCTGCTTTACATTTTTTTTTTATTTTTTTTTGTAAAAAAGACAAGCCGATTCTAAAATTTATATAGAAATAGAAAGGATCTAGGATAGCTAAAACAATCTTGGGAAAACAACAAAATTGGAAGATTTAGATTATCTGACTTCAAAAACTAAACTAAGTAATAAAGAAGATATTTTGGTATGTGATATGAGCATAAACAAACTGAGCAATAGAACAGAAAAGCAAGTCCAGAAATAGATCAATATACATAAGACTAAGCAACTTGGAAAAGGAATTCAAGATGATTCCACGTAGAAAGGAAAGTATTTCCAACAAATGGAGCTGGAATAAATAAATATCTGTACAGGAAAACAAAAAAAGTACATCAACTAAAACAAAAAATCCAGTCTTTCCCTCCTGTTGTAGGGAAAAACCTCATTTAGTTATCTCTTTTGTGTTTCTTCTACTACTCACAAAACACTTCACTCTGACACTAACACTTCTGGTCACAAGTGTGTGAGGTTTTTCCCCACAACAAGTAAGCCTCTGACACCAACTGGGAATCCCACAGTTGTAACTCAGTTCTGACATTATCTACCAAGAGATAGCATCAGACCCCACATGTAAGGGCTCAGTTCCATGAGACTGCTCCCCCCACCACCCTTATTTCAGACACTAGTTGCAAGCCCATGTTAACACCTGCACTTCTAACCAACCAACCAGTTATAGATCCGATGTTGCAACAACCCCCTCCTCAGGTTTAATTTGATTGAGTGGCTCAAAGAACTCAGTTATGTTTAGTAGTTTATTAAAGGATATAATAAAGGATAAGAGGAACAGCCAGATGAAGAAATACATAGGGAGAGGGGCGTCTGGGTGGCTCAGTCATTAAGCATCTGCCTTCAGCTCAGGTCATGATACCAGGGTCCTGGGATCAAGCCCTGCATCGGGCTCCCTGCTCTTCCCTGCTTCTCCCTCTCCCACTCCCCCTGCTTGTGTTCCCTCTCTCTCTGTGTATCTTTCTGTCAAATAAATAAATAAAATCTTTAAAAAAAAAAAAGAAAAAGAAAAATACATAGGTAGAGGTCTGGGAGGGTCCAGAGTACAGGAGCTTCTGTCCTTGTGAAGTCTTGTGGAGTTGGGGTATGTCACCCTCCCAGTGTGGATGTGTTCATCAGCCTGGAAGCTCTCTGAATCGTGTACTACAGGGTTTTTTATCAAGGTCTCCTCATGTAGAATGAGGGTCAGCCTGAAAATTCCCAAACTTATGAACATGGCTTGGTCTTTCTGGTTACCAGCCCCCCACCAGGAGCCACTCAAGACCTGCTTAGAGTCACTTCATTGGAATAAAAGATGCTTCTAGTGCTCTTATCACTTAGGATTTTAAAAGGGTTTTAGGAGTCCTGTGTCAGGGACAGAGTCAAAGACAAATAACAGAACAAAGACAAATAACAGAACAGAACTAGTGTTCTTATCATTTAGGATATCACAAGAGTTTTTGGAGCCCTGTGTTAGAAACCAGTAGCAGATAGTTATATCTAGATATAGATAGCTATATTTATATATCTGTATCTATATATCTATATAATATTTATTATATACAGATATTATATATATTATTATATAGATATGAAGGCTTCCTCATTTAGAATGAGGTGATATCATATATTATTATTTATTATATTATTATTATATTATCTATTATAAAATATAAATAGTATATATCTTACATATTATATATAATATACATATTACCTATCTTTTTATTTCACATGAACATATACTGCACTTTATACAAAAATTAATTTGAGATGGAGCACACACTACATGTTAAAACTAAAGCTATAAGGCTTTTAGAAATAGGCATTGTAGAATATCTTTGCAAGTTTAAAATAGGTAAAAAAAAAAAATTAAGGTACAAAAACCATTAACCAAAAAACAAATTGATAAATTAAAAATCCCTAACAATTTTAAATTTTTCCTTGAAAAGATACATTATTAAGTGAAAATTTTCAGAGTTCACAAAAATAAAATGACAGCTCAATTTCACTTATAAATATCAATGTAAATTTCCCAAATATTGTCCAGTAGCACACTATAAGGTTTATTATCATAACTAAGTGCAGTTTATTTCTATAAAGCAATATCAGTTTAGTATTATGAAGCCTATTAAAGTAATTAATCAGATTAACAGATATAAAGAGAAAAATCATATCATCTCCATAAATGGTACAAAGAAATTGGACAAAATTCAAAGCTACTCTTGCAAAAATTTTGAATAAAATAGGAATCAGTGGGTACATCTTTAACATCATGTCAGCCACAAAGGCAGGGTTTCATACACTGCAAAGGATACTCATAAGCATTGCTACAATATAGCACTGAACTGGGGATATTAGTCAAAAAATTAAAGAAGAGAAAGATATTTAATTATAAAAACCTGAATAGAGACATAATATTCTCATTATCTGCATATGCTAACACTATGCCTGGAATATACCAGAGAATAAACTACTCAACTACTATAAGTAACGAAATAATGTGATAAAGTATTGGGGAACAAAATATACAGAAATCAAAAGCCATCTTATCACATAAAATCATTATCAAAAGGTATACTGGAAGATACAAACCTAATAAAATAGCCACAAAAATAGATAAAATACCTAAAACACACTTAACAAGATAAGATGTACAGATAACTTCTATGAAGAAAACATTAAAACATGAAAGGCATAAATGTACATTTGAACAAACTGAAAGTCATATTCTTGTATAAGACCCAACTTCATGAAGAGTCAATTCTTTCTTAATTTTTAAATTTGGTATTATTTACCAAACATACACACACACACACATGCACACACACACAAATTTGAATAAACTGAATCTAAATTTCACACAAAGAATTAAATTAGCAAAAACAATTATATTCTGAAGATGATAATTGAAGAAGGATGTCATAACCCATCTTCAATATGGCATTCAATGATCCTTATTGTAAAAAAAAAAAAAAATCCTTATTGTAGAGTCCACTTTTTTTTTTAAAGATTTTATTTATTTGACAGAGAGAGATATAGCGAGAGAGGGAACACAAGCAGGGGGAGTGGGAGAGGGAGAAACGGACTTCCCGCCCAGCAGGGAGTCTGATGCCGGGCTCAATCCCAGGACCCAGGGATCATGACCTGAGCCGAAGGCAGATGCTTAATGACTGAGCCACCCAGGTGCCCCTAGAGGCCACTTTTAGGCAAACAGCCTTGAGCAATGGAATATAGAAAGGGCCACAGTGACCACCTGGCTGATACAGACAGGCGCATTAGGCGGCCCACCTCAAAATATCCACAGGCCCTAACTGACCAATGTGCTACTTACAACTAGGCATAGTTACCAAAAAAGGGAAGATTCCATATGTGTCATACCTCCTCATGTCCCCCTTTTAAAAACAGCCCCCACCCACTACCTTGTTGGAGACAGTCTCTCCTCTGGTGTCTTGTCCCTGCTCCCTTGTGGTGTATTCAATAAACTTCTTTCTCCTCTCTCCTTTGTTCTGCCTCAGGTGAATTATTTCACCTCCTGTGGCACCGTCTTCCACCTGGTCATCGATCCACATTTGGGGGCCCCAAATCAGGTGAACCCCATTTAGGCACCACACTTATATCTTGGTATTCATGCTGTTAGGAAGTCCTCTCCCACACTGAATAAGGCTGACCTGTACTATTAATTGAATATATGGTTGGTGTGTCACATCCAAGGATCCTTTAGGAAAGATTGCTACTTCCTGCTTGCTCTCTCTTAGATCACATTCTCTGGGGGAGGTCAGCCACCGGGTTGTAAGAGCACTCAAGCAGCCCCAGTGGAGAAGTACAGGTGGAAAAGAACTGAGGCTGGCACTAACTTCCAAGTTACATGAAAACCCACCCGATACAGACACTTTAGCCTCAGTCAAACCTTAAGATGACTGCAGTATTGGCCGACACCCTGAGTGAAATCTTTCGAGACTCGAGTCAACTAAGTTGCTCCAGTATTTCTGACCCATAGAAATTATGTGAGATTAAAAACAACAACAACAATGACAAGCAAACAAGTTTATTGCTTTGAGTCAATAAGTTTGGGGGCTAATTTTCTATATGGCAATAGATAACTGATAAAAAAAAAGTGGAGGTAGCCCTACTATATATTCAAATATTTTACACAATCTCAATAATTAAAGTGGTTTTGGATTTGCTGCAGCATTTCATAAACCACTGAAATTTTTACATGGCAGAACAACAACAACAACAACAATGAACAAAAACAAACAAACAAAAAAACCCCCAAACACTAACTAGTCAAAAAACAAATGATAGGACTTTTGGTTTTAGCTCTGATATGTTTTATAAGTTGTCACCCCTGTCGTTACAATTAAGAAAAAAGTGAAACAAATAACACTGATGACTATGTTTGGACCCATAAAAGAAAGGTTGCTGGCTAATTGCCACCCAGAAATCTGGTGAGGCAGGTAAATATAAAAAATAACAGCTGAGGACAGCTTACATGGAAGAGAAGTGGTTGGAGTCATAAACTAATAAGAAAACAAATAATTTGACAAATTGTTGAAGGCTGAGTGTGAACTAAGATGAGTGCAAGAAATTTCTGGGGGGCCACAGTTTTAGGAAGACCCCTATGCTTTTGTGTGTTTTACCTCCAGAACACCACAAGATTAGGAAAGAAAAGCCAAGGAAAATTCCCTCAGGTCTCCTGCAGGAATGGAAGGAAAACATTAAAATATACCCAGAGCAATCTCCATAACAAAGTCCTTCTCTTCAGGGGAAAAGACTTCAGCAGAGCCTTAGCTCTTCTGAGGGATGGCATTTACTCCACTCCAGCCCCTTTAACCTTCTTGTCTCACCTAAGGGGGAGAAAAGATAAAGAAAATACTTGCAAAGGTCACAATCCAGTGATATAGGCCAAGTAAAAGATTAAGTCATAATACGATAAAATGCTTCCTCTCTGCCTTACTTTCTGGGTATCAACAGTGGATTACAACTGAAAGACCTACAAGGCCAGATTACATTTAAGGAGGATTTCTTTTAGAAACCCCAAATTAACAGGGGAGACAAAAACAAGGATACTAAAGGAATTTGAAGCTTCTGGCAACTATAACCACGGCAAACATTAAAAACAGCCCAACCCCTAGCCAGATTAGCATGCTACTTTACACTAAAGGCCCAATCAGTTTAGTTCCTGTTACCCAATACATCATGTCTGCTTTTCAACAAAATATTGCAAGAAATGCAAAAAGACAAGAAAAGTACAGTCTTGGACATCTGGGTGGCTCAGATGGTTAAGGGTCTGCCTTTGGCTCAGGTCATGATCTTGAAGTCCTGGGATCGAGCCCCACATCGTGGGGCTCCTGCTCAGCGGGGAGTCTGCTTCTTCCTCTCCCTCTGCCTCTCCTCCTGCTTGTGCTCTTTCTGTCTCTCTCTCTCTCAAATGAATAAATGAAATCTTTAAAAAAAAAAAAGAAAAAGAAAAATGCAGTCTGAAGAAAAAAAATCAGATATGACATAGATTTAGGGATTATCAGACAGGGAATTTTTTTTTAAATACTTTTTTTTTTATTCATTTGAGAGAGAGCACAAGCAAGAGTGAGCAGGGGAGAAGGTCAGAGAGAGAGGGAAAAACAGACTTCCTGCTGAGCAGGATGCCCATCATGGGGCTATATCCCAGGATCCCAGGATCATGACCTGAGCTGAAGGCAGACGCTTAACCAACTGAGCCACCCAGGTGCCCCCAGACAGGGAATTTAAAAGATTATGATTTATATGTTAAGGGCTCTAATGGAAAGAGTTGGCAACATACAAGAACAAATGGGTAATGTAAACAAAGAAATGGAAATGCTAAGAAAGAATCAAAAGGAAACACTAAAAATCAAATCAACTCAAAATGATTACAGACATAAATGTAAAATGCAAAATGATACACCTTTTAGAAGAAAACATATGAGAAAATTTCTGTAACCTTGTTTGATGATGATTTTTAACTACAACATAGAAAGTATGGTCCACAAACACAAAATTGATAAATTAGACTTTAATGAAACTAAAAACTTCTCTGTAAAAGATCCTTACAGAAATGAAAAGAAAAGCCACCAACTGGGAGAAAATATCTGCAAAACAATATCTGATAAAGGGCTGTTATCCAAAATATATGAAGAACTCTTAAAACTCAATGATAAGAAAACAATCCAATTTTTAAAACAAAATATCTAAGCACTTCACCAAAGAAGCTATAGCAATGACAGACATATGAAAAGGTGTTCAATATCATTTAGGATTAAGAAATTTCAAATTACAACAACAGCCATATTAAACTACACACTTACTAGAATGTCTAAAATAAAAAAAAATTAAATAGACAATGCCAAATGCTAGCACGGTTTTGGAGCTACCCCTTCCATTGCTGATGGGAACACAAAATGATATAGTCACTTTGGAAGATAGTTTGGCAGTTTCTTACAAAACACTTGCCATATAATTGAGCAATCATTCTCCCAGGTATTTACACAGATTATTTGAAAACTTATGTCTACATGAAAACCTCTACACAAAAGTTTATAACAGCTTTATTCATAATCACCATAAACAAATCAACTAAGATGTCCTTCAATAGGTAAACAGTTAAACAGACTGGATGTATCCATACAATGGAACATTATTCAGCAATAAAACAGAAGTGAACCACAAGGCTATGGAAAAACAAGGATGGACTTTAAATGCATATTGTGAAGTAAAGAAGCCAGTCTAAAAAAGCTATATGCTATATGATTCCAATTATATAACTTTCTGGAAAATGCAAAACTATATAGAAAATAAAAAGACCAGTGGTTTCTAGGAATTCTGGGGAGGAGAAGAATAAACAGGTGAAGCTCATGAAGTTTTTAGGTGATAAAATTTTTTAATGATGATATTTTGTATAATATTGTAATGTTGGATATAAAATTATGTATTTGTAAAAACCCATCAAACTTTAAAACACAAAGGTGAATCTTAATGTATGCAAATTAAAAACAAAATCATTTAGGAGGTTGGGGAATCCCAGGAAAGAAGGCAGACTAGGACAAGAGAATCTATTGTATTACAAATGTGTGAAACAACATCACTAAAGGAGATAAGGAAAAGTGCTGACCTAATTAACTCTAGAAATGAGTCTACACAGCTAAAAGCAAAAGAACTACCCATAAACAATGTACTTTAGTCCTTATGGACTTCTTTTGCTACTTCTATACATATATTGGAATTGAATAATAGAGTAAATGGATGGCAGATTGTGGATGCTAAACTTTTCACTGTTGGAGGGGAATTTATACTTAATCAAGGGGAGGGGGCTAGAATGACCCATGTGGTAATGGATTAGAGTTGGAGACACCTGTATGAACTCATGTTTAAGTAATATGGATACAAATGGTTACATATAGAAATCACACACACACACGTGTGTGGGAAACAGTGCATATACATGCACTCATATATTTTCTTGTTCTGTCCCCTGAGAAGGCCTGAAGACAATAATATCACCCTGGCAAAAGCACACATAGTGACCAGATCTTGGTTTCTAACATTATTCTACAAGAGAAGGAACCAAGAATCTTTGAAGAAATGGTTGATTCTAGGACTGGGGCAGTATATACCCAAGATAAGCCTAGATCATCTTGTATTGGTAGAAAGTGAGGAAGTACTCAAACAAACCAGACATTGATGGAGTTATGTCAAAAAAACACAGGAATCAACCAAAAGAACTCGTAATGGATAAAGCTTTCCTGGGCAACAAAATGTATAAAATAGTATTGGATTTATCCAAGTACAAACAAAACAAAACAAAGTAAAACAAAACAAAACAAAACACCAAAACAACAACAAAAACCCTATGATTCCATACTGGTATAAATAAATGAATAAATAAAGGGAAGATAATAAGTACAACTCTTGTGAAGAACAATTCTAAGTAATTTACATAGATACTCCTCCCCCTGAGTAGGGGGATTATAACTCCCCATGCTCAAGTATAGGCTAGGCATAGTAGCTTTCTTCAAATGAAATGGTATGGAAAGGGGGTGGGATTAGAGAGTTACTCTATAATGGAGAAACCTACAAACACTACCTTAGCCAGGTGACCAAAGTCAATATCAACAATAATAAATCATGTGACAGCATAAACTCTTGATATGTTATGATGAAAATGGTACTTTACATCCATGGTTTTCCTCCAAAAACTCATAACCTCAGTCTAATCATTTATAAAATCAGATAAATTCTAATAAAATGGCATCCTACAAAGTATCTGAATAGTAGTCCTGAAAACTGATAAGGTCAACAAAATCAAGGAAAATCCAACAAACTTTCATAGTCAAGAAAGCCTGCTATGGACTATGTCCCCCAAATTCAAATGTTGAAGCCCTAATCACCAATGTGATGGTATTTGGAGATGTGATCTTCAGGAAGTAATTAGTTTTAGATGTAGTCATGAGGGTGGAGCCCCATGATGGGATAAATGCCCTTAAAAAATAGAAAGAGAGAGGAGCTCTCGCTCTCTGAGTGCACAGACCAAGGAAAGCCCATGTAGGGGTATGACCAGGAATAGGGCTTTCACCAAGAACCCCACTATACTGGCACCCTCATCTTGGACTTCTAGCCTCCAGAACTATGAGAAATAAACGTATGTTGGTTAAGCCACCAGTCTATGGTATTAATTTATAGCAGCCTGAATGAAGACAGAGCCTAAGGAGACCTGATGACTAAATGTAATATGGTAGCTTGGATAGGATCCTGAAAGAGAAAAACAAAGACAAAACAAACAAAAAAGTCATTAGGTAATAACTAAGGAAATCTGAAGAAAATATGGCCTTTAGTTAATAATAATAATGTATTAATATTAGTTCATTAATTGTAATAAGTGTGCCATATTAATGCAAGATATTAATAATAAGGGAAATTGAGTGCAAGACATCCAAGAACTCTTTGTACTATCCTCTCAATTTTTCTGTAATATAAAACTGTTTCAAAAAATAAAGTCTATTTTAAAAAATGAAAAGCTGAAAAAAATGTTCAAATCACATTGTTTTCAAAGAATCAATCTCCTGAATTTATGAAAAGAATTCCTATTTACAAGAAAAAACTAACAGTGCAATTTCTAAAAAGGAGTAACAGTTATGAACAGAAAGGGAAATACATATTGGTCTTGAAAAAATGGAAAGGTGCTCAATCTAATTTCTAATAAGAAAAATTAACATGAACACTACAGTGACAGCAGTTTTGTCCTATTTGGGGATAAAATCTAAATGTTTGGCAACATACTCTGTTAGCAGACCTATGGGGAAATAAAGACTCTAATACATTGCTGGTGGAACTACACATTAAAAAATCACTAAAGAGAGTAATTTGGCAGCATCTATTAAAATTACAAAGGCATTTACATTTTCACTCAGTAATCTGACTTCTACGAATTTTTCTTATAGATATAAGTTGCATATGTTTTTCTGTTCAAGATTATTTACTGCAGCATAGTTGTAAGAAAAAGAAAGTTTGGAAACAACACAATTTTGCATTAGTCGAATATTGGATAAATAAATTATGAATAAACTATAGAATGGGATATTATGAAGCTGAGATGTATTATGGTATAAAGTTTCAGAGCCCAAATTGCAAGACTTACAGTTTCAAATCCCTACGTTACCCCTTGATGTTTGTAAGATTTGCAGCAAGATCCATAAATATGGCTTCGATATCTATAAATGGGTATTAAATAAATGCACATTTCCTAGTGTGGTTCTGAAGAATATGCCATTACATATGTCTTACTATATGTAAGACATTTAAAATAATATCTTGTGCATGCTAATTACCACAAAAA